AGCACTATTTTAATTTAATGGCATTTAAAGGTCTTTTTAGCGCTTTTAATTGCATTTCTCCATCTCATATTTATGGCAACTCATTTATCTATGTTGCCTGCAGTTGAGAGGCAACCAGACGTTGACATAGATGGAGAATTCTTTAGAAAGAAATAAAACTATAGGTAACTAATTAACTTAGGAATATATAGTCAAGGCATCATTATAACAAATATGCCTTGATTGCACACTGTTAATTGTATCCCTTGCGCACTGCAGTCAAAAGTTGAATAGTAGCCTATATAAATAACATATAGCAACAAAAGCATCAATGTATTACACACTCAGCTACAATTCACAAGCACTTAAAATAAGGTTCTTGCAACTGAAAAAAGAAGTTCTGTTTTCCCTAGAACTGAACAAAATACATTCTATTTTGCCCAAAACATACAAGGCACAGCTGCTGGTTCTATCCCACTTTTTCTCTAAACTTAATGTAACCCTGACAGCAAAACCCACAAGCACCACCACCTCAAAATCACTTTAGAACTACAATAAAATGGAAGTTCGATTGCATGAGGAATTTTATACCATTTATCCCTACTTTTGGGGCACAATTTCTTATTCTGCTCAGAGAATTACAAAGAACATATTGTCTCCTCTGTGTAGGCTTTGCGTAGGTTTCTCATACTTAAAAGCCTGCAGTGATATTGGTTAATAGCCAAATTTCAGCCACCTCTCTAACCTCTCCCTTTCAGTGGGCGTGAAAGGGTTTACTTGTAATATATATTGCTACTGACTGAATTTTATCTTGTTCTCCCGGATTCTCAGCAGCAATTCCCAAGTTAGAGGCTTCCCCAGAAAGCACGTCAAAGGATTCCCACCCACACACTGAATATCTAACAGGCCCTGACCCATTTTCTCCTTATTAAAGCAGCACCACATATTTTAAAAAATAAAAATAATAAACAGAGAGGCTAAATGAATGCAAGAATTGCGGTTGGAACTTCGTCCTCTTCAGATTTTAGTTCTGACAAAATCACTACCAAGAAGCAAAGAGACACATTTAAAATACAAACATCAGATGTATTTTTCCCTCAGTGTTCTCATTCAGTGACTTATTACTCCAGCTGTCTTTCGGCTAAGTACAAGGAGGACTTCATTTATTAGTTCTGAATATAGAAAAATCCCCTAATTTAGCCATACTTATCTCCTCATCTAACCATATCTTTGGGCATATTACTGCCACTTGAGCTTTAATAATCTTGTAACTCAGGACTTAAGATATAGGATGCTTAAAAAATTAAGCCTCATGGTGAGTAACAGTTGGAATGACATGATTTTACTAAGATTATTAATGTTACCTAACCAGAATAAGCAATAGCGATTAACACTGAATATTTAGAACGGAAGTTTTTTTATGGTAGAATGGACTACTGCAAATACTACTGCAAAACCCAAGATCCGTCG